AATGAGAGTAGGTCCCAGTCCTCAGGATCTTACAGTCTAGTATATTAAAAAAAAACATGCAAATAACTATGACCCAATCCAAGTTAAAAACAATAAAACATAAAATCAAAACATATTATCAGAGAGATTCAAGTAGAATTTCAACATACACAAAAGATTACTTCTAAGCAGAACACACAGGTTAAGAGCATAAACATGAGAGTCACACAGACCTGGATTCAAGTCTTGACTATGCCGCTCTCTAGCTATGTGACATCAGGCAGGTTATTTAACGTCCCAGATCTTCAGTTTCAAAATCTTTCAAATGGGGCTGTAACATCTACCTCTCAAAACTGATACAGGATTAAATAAGATAAAATATGTAAAATTCTTAATACAGTTCACAGCACACTTCAGGGTTAACTGCCAGCAGTGGCTTCCAGACCTATTATTTCTCTATCTCGAATGTCTAGCTCTTTTACTTACCAATGCCCTTTACCTGTTTTGTCCAGGGTTCTGCTAAATTCTCTTATCAAATGCCCTTTAAAGATGACGAAATGGATTTTTAGAGGATGAGGAACATGTCCAATGACATATACTTAGTGAACACATTACTATGTCCACCTCCAGACTCTTAGATCTTAGGGTACACAGTTATTTCTTTGTCTTATCTTTCCTATTATTTTATAAGCAATCAAAAGGCAAGTACAGCATGTCATTGTGTGAATTTTAAAAGGCGCCCTCTCTAAGCAGGCCCAATCTCATGAGCACACAGCTTGGTGGGTAATGTGGTGGATGGTTCTCAGTCACAACTACTGTCATATATCTTTAGGCAGTGAACAATCTGAACAGCCTCACATGGCAGCCCTGGGTCTCCCATCTCCAGTTTCCTCTTTTTCAGTCTATTCCACATTGCTGCCCAAATGATCTTCATAAAACTCCCATCTGATTATGCAATTCCTTCTACCTTAAAACTCTTCAGCTATATACTGCCTAGAAACCCCAAGTCTCAAGTGTCACCCACATGTGGCCTCCTCACTCGGGCACCAAGGCTTTTCAATCTCAGAACCTACTCTGCTCTCCAACACACCCCACAGCCCAGCAGAGCAGCATTCTTACCACTGTCTGAACATGGCAGGAGCTTCCATTCCTCTGTGTCTCAGCACATGCTTATCCTATAGTCCCAACTACTCTCTCGGTTTCTATCTGTTTTCTAACTCAGCCCTTAAAAGGCTTATTTCAATTCCAGCTCTTCAATGAAGCAAACATACTTTTTGAGTCCTTAGCTGAAATGACTGCCTCATCCCCAGCAGGCCCATGGCACTTACGAGTCTACCTTCCCACCAGCTCCTGGGAGTTGGGAGGACATTGCTCAGGCTTTGAAGTTAGATGGATCAGGGTTGGGGTCCTAACTCAAACATTTTCTAGCTGTGTGAATGTGGGCAAGTCACTTTCCCCAAGTTTCAATAATAATCCCTTCCCCAAGAATTACTGGGACAATCCAGTGACCTAACACCAAGGCTTCCACGCTTGTCCAGACAGAGCCACAAAATGTTGATAAATTTAATTGTTTCATGTAAACTAAGAATAGGAGAAATTATGACCACATAATATGTATACAGGTTTCCAAATATTTTTTAAATGTGTATACACACACACACACACATATACATGTATTTTGTCATCACTCTAAGTTTTAACTTTTTTTCCATTTAGAATTTAACCTAACAAGTAGTAGCAGACACCAGAAGTTGAAAAAAATAAATGGAGGACAAAAATTTGAAAGATTAGAAAATTCTATTCATAACTTTTTTGCAGGGGATAAGTCAATAAATATCATTACTAAGTTTTAGTGATCAAACACCTCACCTAAGAACATCCAGTCCACTGCTTGTCACATGGTAGGTGATAAATAAATGTAATTTGATTCTGAATTTGAAACTCAAATTAAGTTCCTTGAAAGCAAAAGCATAGCTCACTCATCTCTGGCTAATGAGCTCGTAACTCAGTGCCTAGCACATAGGAGTTGCACTACAAATGCTGGCTTAATAATGAACTTGCAATTGAGAACACAAGCAAAAGTCGAACGACATTTTGCGTCTCCAATTATTTTAGACTGCAGTATACTCCAGTAAGTTGTATTCCAAAGCCCCTGCAATGTTCTGTACCAGTCACCTCATCTGAAATACTAAGAGTTTCTTGGGAAGGAGAAATACGTAAGTAGAATCCTTCCTTGGGTACAGAAAAACTGATGAAGACAGCTAAGCAGGAGAAACATGTCATATGCACTCCTGTAAAAGAACAAAGGGGCCAAAGAAGACACAATGCGCTATACACAGTACCTGTCAGACAGTGACACTTACAATTTTGAACATATATTTAGTCCCACGAGCCTCCTATTCAGAACATGTCTGGTTACAATAAGCACTATAGAGATTATAGAAAGTGAATCCTAGTCTATTCTCTGCAGATCAATAACTTACACCATTTTTTACATATTTATGTATCGTTCCAAATGAAAGCCAGTATAGCCTCAAATTAAACAAAAAACTAAGATCCAATTATTTCTCCTTCACTAAAAATAATATGGTAGATAAATATTTATTATCATGGGAATTCATTACTTAGTGTTAAATGGAAAAGACAGGATATCCAAACAGGATACTGACTGTAGCACATACTACTCTTATAGTAGTAACAGAAAAATATGTACATGTGTTAAAGAGAATAATAAAATAGAAGCTATTTGCTACTTCTTTTTAAATAATCCATGACTAATTCTTCAAAAGTACATCTATATTTTGTCAATAATACAGTTTCAAATTTCCAGAAATCTACCTCAAATAATTAAATAAAATACTTGAGACAACAAAGACTTTGAAAACACATTTGTGATTAAGAAGAAAATAAAAGGAGAGGACAAAGGGAAGTTCAAAAGACATGTGGAGGTTGTTTAGGGTTCTGAATTATTCCCTAAAACTGCATTTGCCTCCCCAAAGGGAAATCACCAATACATTTAAATAACCCTTACAGTTTTCAAAGTACTATAGGAAACCTGTTCTCAGGACTTCTGTAAATTTCAGAAAGAACTTCCATCCTGCCCCTGTTTCACCTTCTCCCTTAGTCTTTACTTCCATATAACTAGTTCTTCAGGACTAGATTCATGTGGAATATAGTTATGCATTGTAACCACCTTCTTTTTTTTAAACTTCAAGGCAAATTGTGAACATCCTTCCATGTATGTATTCACCTACGACATCAGTTTTAGTGAACAGGGATCTTTCTGCTGTGATCCGTCTTGTAACACTGGAGCAGGCTTCAGCTTCTTACTGTGATCAAAAGTCCGACAAGATGCCTTGTATATGGAAACATAACTTCTACAACAATGTCAGAAAGGGAATTTTTGGTATAAGGGAAGGAAAACATTACACTGGAGACTATATTAAATTTTAAAGAGATGCTAAATTATTTGAAAGGCAGTTTAAGTAGCTTACTTTCTGGGGCTAAGTCATATCTCCAATCTAAACACTACTGCAAATATCTGGATCCTGAAGGGCAGAGAATTTAATCTTTTGCCCTTTTCATTCTACTTCTGTGGACAGATTGGTGAATTCCAACATAATCCTCTTTTAATATCTTTCCAACACTGAATAACAACAACAGCACATGATTTCTTTTATTGTCAGGTTAATATGTTAATACAAAACTATAAAATTCCACCAAATAAACAGCTATCATTTTTTAAATTCTACTGACAACAGTACTTCACTATAACAAAAAAAAGAGTTTGGAGAAAATTTTCTAAGTCCTTGCTTTCAACTGATTTATATGTTAGCAGACTTGACAGCCCTCAGAAATTATATACATGGCATATGAATACTGTGTGTATGTGTATGTATGTTATCTTTTTCAATATGAATATCTTATTTAATTTCAAAAAGTCTTCACAACTAAAGGCCTTACCTTATTATAATTACAAAATATACAATTTAACATAAGCAAAAATTTATAGTACATACAATATAACAATAAAATCTGACCTTACTGTTTAATGCTTCTATGGAACTTCTACAGTAAAGTTCTTTTCTGCCTTGTTTTATACTAGACATGTTTAAACTAGCTCTTTTGTACTGTCAGAAATGTAGAGGAGCTGTAAGACACAAAACATACAAAGTTTAGAAAACTATCTAGTAATTTAATGGATGAATACTTTCTATTGCCAATGTTATTGTTTCTGGAACATGCCAGAAAGAATATTTCTGTGTGTCTGCATGTGTGCGTGTTTTGTTTTGCTTACATTCTTATGGGCCATTTATATTTCCAACTAGTATCTACAAAAAAGTAGACAGATTTTATTATCTTTAAGGCACATCTTACCTTTACAAAACGATTGAGAAATAAAACTGAACTTTACGGCCCCAAGCACTTTTTTCTAAAAGATTGCAAAACCACTGATACAGGTGTCACAATTAGACTATCTCAGAGTACCTTTAAAAAGTTGTAAGATAATAAAACTGACAGATGCATCAATTCTTCCAAGACCACGCTACAGGAGGGACTTCCTGAACAAATTATTTGACATTTTGTTTTCCCTTCCAGATAAAAAAAGAACCAAACAGATATCATTCTTATTCCAAAAATTCAGAACTAAAGCACCTATCTAAAAGTCTAAAACTCATGAAGCTCAGAAAACTGGATTCACTTTTCTATCACAACATATTACACTGTCTTACCTTTAAAGTTTAATTCATCTACTGCACACCTGGTAAAAGGTTTTATCACAATCTTGGGGACTCCATTTATGAAATCCAGAAGAAATGACAGAATGCAGAAAGTCATCCTAATCTTTTGGAAGGTTTTTTTTAAAGGTCTCCTGAGTCCCTTTCTGTGTTTCAAATCCTTAAGTGCATATAAAACTTACAAAGCAAAAAGTAGAAATGCCACAGTCCCACTGTAAACTTTCTGAATGAAGTATAACAGGATAATAATAATAATAAATAGCAAGTTAGAAAATTACTTACTTTTCCCAGGTCTTTGGTACAAAGCTCAGAAGGCAAGTTCCCTTTTCCCACAAAGTCTTGTTAATTAACAGCAATCACTCAATGAGGTCAGACAGCACAAATAAATCTAAAAATTTTGTAGAAACAAGAGTTGAAATTCAAAGTCAGATTTAGAATTAAAAATCAAAACATCCCATGGCTATTCAGAGTCTCTTTGAATAATTAAAATACACTATAAATGATGAGTTATGTTAGCTACTTTTCCTTCAGACAATACTAACGAGGCTTGCTAAATCTAGATGGTATTTTGAACTGTCATCATTATTAAAGTTACTAAAGCAGGAACCAGCAAGGCTTCTTGGCAACTGTTCACAGTAAAAATGTCCTTCTCAGAGAGTCATAAAAAGCAACTGAGGGAGGATATGGACTTCTAATTATACTTGACTTGGGAGGGAAGGTCTTCCGAAATCACACTTGCCTGCCCCACCTTCCAAAGATGAGCTCATCTCACAAACACAGAAGCAGTTGTAAATAGAAGTGAACAAAACAACCTAAAATCATCAACTTCTAAATACCCTTCCCATGTATTTATTTAAGCACACTTCACTTTTGCAGGTGAGAATAGGAAGTTGTATTAACTATTTTTCTAATAAATCTGAAAATTCTGCATGATAATAAGCTCACTCAAAACAAAAGTTCCTTCTCCAACAATCCTGGGAATGAATACAGAGGTAATAACTCATTCATAAGTTCCAGAAGTTTGAGTAGGTAAAACACATGCCTCAGGTCAACTACAGCCTAAAGTCTGTGCAATCCTTAGCCTCTCTCACTCAGGGCTCTATGCTAGATATAATTCTAAGAAGCATGATGAACCATTTAAAAGCCACAAGAGATTGAGAAACAGGTCAATAGGAGGAGGCGGAAAACCCTGCTACCACAGGCAGGGCTAACTGAAAAGCAGATACCCCAAAATATCAACAGGCATTAGTTATCATTATTGTCATTGTTGCTGCCAACACTTATACAGTGTTGAGTCTTGTACCAGATTTTTCCTTAAGTGCTTTACATGTATTAAGTCTATTTTGGATAGAAAAAAGTACACTATCCCCTCGACATCTCCATATTACTGCACACTATACTGTAATGCTTGTGCTTCCAACACTTGTGTTTGTTCCAAGATTGCTTTATCAGGGAACGATTTGAGCATAACTTGAATTTCATATTTATGCATGATGTTGCTGCAAGAAACCCTAGGTGCTAGCAGACGACTGCACCCAGGCAGTATCCAGCTGTGTAAGGATACGCAGAATACATGAATCCATATCTCAAATAACCACCAGCAATCTCAGTTTCCACCAGTGTGCCATGAGCCACACCCATCCACACTGGGAGCCCCAACTTTCTTTCCAGTTTCAGTTAACCCTCCTTCCACCACTTCACAGTATCTCACAAGCTCCAACCCTTCCGGGGCCTGGGTCTACAAGGAAACATCAGGACTTTGTCAAGGTAAAGGGCCATGTTTATTGTACTATTTATTTCTTAACCACCTATTATGTGTAAAATTGTGCTACAATTTTTATTCAGTTCCTATCTTATTTTTTTAATGTGTCCCTGGTAATGGTGTTGGAGTGTTGTTTCTCTGATCCTAATTTTCCCATAAAAAATTAGGGTTTTCCGACATGATTTTGCATAGCATTATGGTTTTTAGAAATGCCTGTATCACATTTTTGCAGAACTGACTAATATAATAACTAGTGTTTACAAGGGTGCCTATGATTTGAACCAGAAGGGTTCTTGTAATTTTCATATCTTTTCATTATGTTAAAGAGAATAACAACATATATAATACAATTTTAGAAAGCTTCTCACTCACAATGTTTACAATTACCAAGTATAGACATTTAAGGGTCAGTTTCAGTTAAGGGGAAAATGTATCTATGAGATGTTCCCTAATGATGTTAGTTAGATAAAGGAGGTGCTACTGAAACATTCTGGGCAGAACAAGATAAGATGTTATAAAGATGACCCTATGAACTTGAGGGCTTAACCATAATTGCTGGAGAGGAGAAGCTGAATTGAATTACTTTATCATTCCTTGATATCAGTAACTTGAAAAAAGACTGAATTTATCCCTGCCCCCCCCAAAAAGACCAATATGTGCATAAAGGTAAGTACAGAGAAGTTTTCTAAGTAATATCATTTTAAGCAATTTTTAAAATATAAATATCCAACAATGGATAAAGAGTTTTTTTAATCAGTAAAATATCTAATAAAGTGGGAAAATATTGTTAAGCACTGTTTTTTGGGAATATAGACTATAAAGCAGTATGCTCAATATGCCTCCAATTTCATTTAAAAGTATACCTAGAGAAAAAACTACAAGAAAAAAAATCCACATTTTATAGCTGCTAAGTAGAGATAAAAGAAAGAATAATTTTTACTTTCTTTGCATTTTCCTATGGCACCCAAATTTTCCACAATAATAACATCTATTTTTACAATTAAAAATAACAATATGCTATATAAAAATAAGTCTAAAGCATCTGGTGCAAAAAGGTTCTTTTATCCCCATTTTAATTCCATGTGTGAATCAGTCAATAGAATGAAGCCCAGCCCAGAAACAAGAACACCAGAAGCTTCCTCCACAAGTATTAACAGATCCAGTCTCATGACTGAACCCTGGGAAGTATGTTCTAGCTCACAGTTCAGGGGCCAACACAGTTTTAGTAGGATGTTCAACATATATAAATCCATCACAGAGGCCAAAATATAATTTGCTTTTACTGGCTAAAACAGTCATGGATTTAGTAAAATCCAGATGAAAGAAGATTTTTTAATTATATAATTGCATAAAGCTTAATAAATGCCTGAAAGAAGTTTCGTTCTGAATGAAGAAATTGTGTTCTGGATAAAGCTCCTTTCAAACAAGATCAAGATTAAAGAAATACAGGGAGGGATGGATTTGGGCATAGGAATGAACACCTCACTTGGAGAGTTTTAAAGAGAAAGTAAGATGAGAGAGACTGATCTTTATGACCTACAAAAGAACTGTTATATTAAAATTTTCCCAACAACAATGAAACTTGACTTTGAAAAGAATCCATTTGACAGTAAGGATGTGACTCCTTAGTCATGAGTGTGTTTATTAATCCCATCAATGACATCACAGAAGAACTGGGGAGGGTATTTTTGAGTACAAGGGATAATCTGGCCACCACACACCTGGGTTCACTCTCCTATGCTTGGCTAGCAGCACATTTAAATGAAGTGTCGCTTTCCATTTTTAGTTTAACCTTCCTGGGGTACCATATACCAAATAACTATTTGGTATAAAGCAGTTGCTTTAATATGACTCGCCATTCTCATGAATGAACTGAGGATTAAGTCAGGGGTTGTACGTGTGTGTGTGTTTTTTTCATAAAATTAGAAAGCATCTGTAACATTCAGTATATACATCTGAATAATAACCATATTCCTGCTATACAAAGTATAGATGTAATAGTCTTTGTTTTCTTATTTTGTTTTTTTACTCCCAAAAATGCTGACTTTGATGAAAAACAAAAACAAAACCCTTGTGTTTCAAATTTGTTTTTGTATTTTTAATTTAAACAGTTTCATAGATTCCCTATCAAATGTAAACAAAGGCACCAGCTTCCTGTTTTGTTTTTTTTTTTGTTTTAAAGAATAGAAAGGAAAAATGAATATTTTAATTATGCTGTTATATACTTATAAAGATCACAGAGGAAATACTGAGTTCCAGAAGAGTCAGTTCAAGTTCAGGATCTCCCTCAGAGACTATCATTTTATCAAATGCATGCTGATTTCTTTGGAAAAGAAACAAAATTCTTGGCTTCTGTGTTTCACAAATTGCTGCTTAAAATGCTGCCCATATGCACCTTTAATCATTTGCAACCAAATAATTATAATCAGCACGTAAATGCAGCTACTATATTCAATTGTGAATATTCAAACATAAAAACTAAAATTTTTAATTTTTAAAAGAAGCCATGCTGAAATATACCTGCTCTATATGTACTTTATACTGACTCTGAAAATACAGAGCACTTTGGAACTCTCAGTATGGAAACCATATTTCTTAAATTGCTCTAAGAATTAGCATATGTATAGCTCAAGGATATACACTCTATTAGCATTTCTGGATATAAAAAAGGGCAACCAATTACCAGAGACTACCTGGATAATAAGCAGAAATTATTTCCTCAGGCTCTCAAGTCACTCCCTGGGCAGAATTTGAGCATAATCTCATCTGGTCTTTGGCACCACCTCACTTCCCGTCTTGCGGTACCATGCCACCTCCATCCAGAGCCCAAAGACCTTCACTTTCAATGGCCTCCTCCTCTCACTGGTCCTTTCCTTGCAACTTCTCAACTCCCAATGCCTCCGTGGGAATATTTTAGCAGAAGCTGGGAGATGGGTGAGCTTAAACAAATGATTTATGACTTCCAACTTTCTCTGGATTCTATGCATTTTTCAAGAGAAAAACTTGAGTACCCAGGTCTTGGTTTCTAAATACTTTACTTCATTGGAATAAGAAGTTGGGTCCAAGCCTGGGCAAGGAAAGCACAAAATAAGCCTAAGACATCTTATTATGCCAGAAAGCAAGGAAGTGCTCAAATATTAATGTAGATGTGACAAAGGCCATAGGAGCTGCCTTGAAAGGGCTACCACTAGCCAAATGTGGGACTATTGGAACAATAAAAACAAAGATATGGATGAACTAGAACACACTGAATTTATAAAAGGGAACCATAAACTCATAAATACTCATGAAAAAGGAGAGAGTGGGAAACTCTTCTTTACAAAGAATGACAGCTAATAAACACCAAAGGAATAGTTCAGCAAAAATTTCTAAAAGTGAGTGTGTGTGTGGACAGAGAGAGAGATGGATGAAGAGAGAGACACAGAGAAACATAGCAAGACAGAGATAAAGAATATTAGGCGAACTGTTAGCATTTTATGTGGTAGGTTACCCATAACCTATAAAATCCAGTAACCATGGTTACTTGTAGGCTGCATCTATTCCATGTAAAGAGGGGTCATAAAGTAGTTTATGGCTGAAAGGAAACTCACATAAATAGGATTATAGCTCACTGGTGTTAGTCCATT